AAAGAAATCACTAATAGCCAAAGCTACAGTTGTAGCTTCCTGATTTGGTATTGCATATGCCTCAGGCTACTTGGTAAAATAATCCATCACCACACAAATGTTTCCAGCACGAGTGTCAACAGCTACTCTTTCCATTGGTGCGCCAACTTGATATAACTTCATTGGAGCACGTCCCTTATGTATGGGTCCCCTTTTAGCACAACATATACTGCATGTCCTGCACCATTCTTCCACATCTTGCCTCATACCTATCCAGTAAAATCTTTGCCGTAGGTGACTCAATGTCTTCTTAACTCCGAGATGCCCTCCTGTTAAACTCTCATGGGATTGACGCAGCACAACTTTCCGTAACTTTCTCGGTATAACTGTTTGCCAGGTCGTCACTTTCCCATCTACAGTTTCCTATCTCCGGAGAAGAATACCATCTTCAAGCTTCAACTGGTTCCATTGTGCCCAATAGTTCTTTGTCACAGGGCTTAAGCTAGACACCTTCTCCCAAGCAGGGCGCAAAACACTTGCTTGTAGAAAATCAATTATTGGCTTCAAATCTTGGTCTTGTTACTGTTCTGCTTGAATATTTCTACTTCGTTCCACTTCACCATCATCAACTCCTTCAGTCACTTTGACTTCAGCTTGATGGCACCTTGTTAGTTCAACCTCTCTTTTAATACTTACCGGAATTTGGCCTTTGTTGTTCCCAAACGTCATTTTATCAAAATTAACTATACATTTCCTCGGTAGTAAGTAGTCCAACCCTAATATGCATTGGTCTTCAATGTCAGCCAAGTATACTTTGTGTCTCTCCTTCATAAGCTGAATAGTTACCAACACCGGTCCACACTACCTTGCATAATGTTCTGTCACACCAGAGAGCTTCTGTATGGCTTCTTGTATTCCTTTCTGATCCAGCACCTTGATAATCACAATGGTTTGCTGAGATGCAGAATCTATGACCAAGTTGCACTTTTTGCCATCCAGCTTCCCTGTCACGTAGACACTATGTGTGATTGCCATTTTACACTTAGCTGTTTGGACTTTCACCATGATGGTTGGTAGGCGTCCCTCAACATGAAACACTACTGGTTTCCCCGAGGCTGACTTATTGGTAGTATTATTCTTACACTATTTCTTCATATGTCCTTGCTCTCCACAGTTCCAACAACCTTTCTGGGTAGCAGCCTTTCCTGCCGTGGCATTTTCCCTGTGTCGAAGTTGTCGGCATTGAGCTGTCTTGTGCCCAGGTTTGTTACAGTGCCAGCAAAGTCCCTCAAACCTCTCTGAAAGCTGACCTTTTCTGGCCTTGATTCCTGATGACTGTACCAACCTTGTTACCTCTGTGCTGGATTTAACATAGGATTCGAATTCAATAGCTCTGGCCATTGCATCCTGCATAGTAGAGGGTGTGGTTGTTGTACTTGTATCTTCAGTTGTGGAATGTCCAAAGCGTCCACAAACTGATCCCTCAGCAACAGCTTGAGGACATCGGGTGGCGCAGTTGGTTAGGCCTTGTGTGTCATACTTTCCAAATCCTGCGCCAGCTCTTGCAAGCTCTCTCCTTTAGCACGGACTCTAGTCCTAGACCTATCCCTGTAGACTTCGGACTGATTTTGAGTTCCATACCTGAGCTCTAGAGCAGCTACCAGTACTCTCTAGTTGTGCCTGTCATCTGCTGACAACTGTATACTTGTATACTAAACAAAAGAGCGACTGGAACAAACTAGAGTTGCCAGGAAAATTCATGATCCTTCGAGAAACTCCAGCGCGCATGCTCCCAGCATTGCGTGACTTCCGCTGTCGTAACGCAACTATACAACCACCATTAATTAAAATATCATTGTTGGTAACTTGTTTTCTGTTTGAATATCACAACTAACAACAACTGTACAACCACTATTAATTAAAATATCATTGTTAGTAACTTGTTTTCTGTTTGAATATCACAACTAACAACAACTGTACAACCACTATTAATTAAAATATCATTGTTAGTAACTTGTTTTCTGTTTCAATATTACAGCTAACAACAATGATTGTCCAACCATTAGAAGCTCCACAGCCAATCACAGCTCAATTTGCTGACAGCCTTGACAACGTTCTTATAACTCTCTCTGACAGTCTTCGTCCTGAGGGATTGGTCAACTGTAGTGACGTGTTTAATGAGACAAGTCTGGAATTACTGGGAGAAGGTAAATGCTAAAGCTGTTATATGTTCTTTACTCCACAGATTGTTCTAAACTTATATATATTTAATGTTGCTCTGTTTTCATAAAGCAAATCACATGTACTTGGTTTGAAATATTGGAAAACGTTGGCCAGCGTGGCCTATTGGTTAATGTGTCGTTCTATGTTTCCGATCACCCACGGTTCGTGTCCCATCGCCACAATAAATAGCATTCTGGCTTCTCGAGCCGTGGGTGAGTTATAAAAGTGATATTAAAATCTCAGTGTTCCATTAGAGTAGTCCAAGAGGTGGCAGTGGGTGCCGTTAAACTAGCTGCCTTCACCCTAGTATATCAGTTCGAATTAGGGAGGGCTAACAAGTGTAGCCCTTGTGTAGATATGTATGTAAACCATGCTCTACACTTTGTTGTTAATTTTACGTTTACATGAATTTTAAACATTTCTACTGTAACGCACGATTATCCGAAACAAAGAAAAAAAACTGAAAAAACTACAATTTGTAGCAGGTGTTTTTTAGTAATGTTGTAAACAGCATGCTATATTTTAGAAATTATAAAAGTAAACAACTACAAATTAACATACTATTGCACATCATCACGTAGCCTAACATGCATGGTTCAGACAGTAGGACTGTGAGCAGCCCAGAGGTAAACGTGTTGGGCTGCATATCAAACAGTCTCGAGTTCGCCACATGATACTACAGACCACATTTCACATTTGAAGCTATGAATGAGTTATAAAAGCGACAGTAAATCCCGTTATTTAATTCAAAGAACCTAACGAAACCCTTGCCCTTCCCCCAGTGGTTCAGCGGTTAATCTAAAAACTCAGTTTTGATACCCGTGGTTGGCAGCACAAAGCGTAGTCTGTAGTTTTGTAATTAACAACAAACAAATCAAAACGTAGCACTTCTTGCACAGGGTAATTGTGGCTGGTTGCCTTCCTCTTGGCCAGTCGTTCAAAATTATTGTCAACCATGCCTCAATCCTGGGAAAACTGTTCTTAAGATAAAACTTCTTAATGGGCAGCATGATCTTCTTCATTTTAAAACTAAAAATAATTCCAATAGACGTTATTCTGTTCCTAGATTCTTTCTTATCTGCAGATCCTACGTGTGTCAGTATAGCAAACACTCTGACAGTCCAGCTTGGACGAAAACCCGACCTAATACCCGGTGATTCACTAACATTTCTGTCTGGTAACGGACTGTACAACCGAGATGTGCCTTCAGAGTTAGGATCAGAGGTTACCGGAAGAGTTACAGTAGAAGAAGCTTTCACTCCGGTTAGTAAATGTTAATGGTGGTAGAGGACAGTGTTAGTATGGTAAGTAAATGTTAGTTGTAGTAGAGGACAGTGTTAGTGTGCTAAGTAAATGTTATTGGTGGTAAAGGACAGTGTTAGTATGGTAAGTAAATGTTAATGGTGGTAAAGGACAGTGACAATATGGTAAGTAAATGTTAGTGGTGGTAGAGGACAGTGTTAGTATGGTAAGTAAATGTTAATGGTGGTAAAGGACAGTGACAATATGGTAAGTAAATGTTAGTGGTGGTAGAGGACAGTGTTAGTATGGTAAGTAAATGTTAGTGGTGGTAGAGGACAGTGTTAGTATGGTAAGTAAATGTTAGTGGTGGTAGAGGACAGTGTTAGTATGGTAAGTAAATGTTAACGGTGGTAAAGGACAGTGACAATATGGTAAGTAAATGTTATTGGTGGTAAAGGACAGTGTTAGTATGGTAAGTAAATGTTAGTGGTGGTAGAGGACAGTGACAATATGGTAAGTAAATGTTAGAGGACAGTTTTAGTCTGTATAAGTAATGATAGATGATAGAGAGGTCTGTGTAAGTGATGTTAGATTATAGAGAGGATTGTGTAACTAATGCTAGACGATAAAGAGGTCTTTGTAACTAATGTTAAATAATAAAGAGGTTTGTTAAGTAATGCTAGATGATAGAGATGTTAGATAATAGAGAGATCTATGTAAGTGATGACAGATGTTAGAGATGCATTAGTTACACAAACCTCTCTATCATCTATCATTAACTTACACAGACATGTCTATCATCTAGCATTACTTACACAAACCTCTCTGTCATCTAGCATTACTTACATAAACCTCTCTATCATCTATCATTAACTTACACAGACATGTCTATCATCTAGCATTACTTACACAAAACTCTCTATCATCTAGCATTACTTACATAAACCTCTCTATTATCTTACATCACTTACACAGACCTCTCTATCGTCTAACGTTACTTACTCAAACTTCTCTTCTATCTAACATCACTTACATCGCTATCATCTAACATTACCTACACAGACATCTCCATCATCTAACATTACTTACATAGACCTCTATATCATCTAACATTACTTACCCAGACCTCTTTAACATCTAAAATTACTTACAAAAGCTAGATGATAGAGAGGTCTTTGTAAGTAATGTTAGATAATAAAGAGGTTTGTGTAAGTAATGCTAGATGAAAGAGATGTCTTTATAAGTTAACGATAGATGATAGAGATGTTTGTATAAGTAATGCTAGTTGATAGAGATGTCTGTGTAAGTTAGTGATAGATGATAGAGATGTTTGTGTCAGTAATGTTAGATAATAGAGAGAGATATGTAAGTGATGATAGATGCTAGAGATGTTTTTGTAAGTAATTTTAGATGATAGAGAGGTCTGGGTAAGTGATGTTAGATTATAGAGAGGTCTCTGTAAATTAATGATAGATGATAGAGAGGTTTATGTAAGTAATGTTAGATGATAGAGAGGTCTCTGTAAGTAATGTTAGAAGATAGAGAGGTCTCTGTAAATTAATGATAGATGATAGAGAGGTTTGTGTAAGTAATGTTAGATGATAGAGAGGTTTGTATAAGTAATGATATATGATAGAGATGTCTGTGTACGTAGTGTTAGATGATAGAATTGTCTGTGTAAGTTAATGAGAGATGATAGAGAAGTGGGTGTAACTAATGTTAGATGATAGAGAGGTCCGTGTAAGTTAATGATAGATGATAGAGATGTTTGTGTAATTAATGTTAGATGATAGAGAGGTCTGTGTAAGTAATGTTAGATTATAGAGAGGTCTGTGTAATTAATGTTAGACGATAGAGGTCTGTGTAAGAAATGTTAGACGATAGAGGTTTGTGTAAGAAATGTTAGATGACAGAGAGGTCTGTGTCACTAATGTTAGATGATAGAGTTGTCTGTGTAGGTAATGTTAGATGATAGAGAAGTCTGTGTAAGTAACTGTTGCGTCAGCGTGGTCACGTGACTCGTTCTCTCGAACCTTCAGGAATTGTCGGGAGATTACTAGATATAGGGTAGTCTGGTATATATAAGAGGGTGACAACGTGACGGAACAACAATGTGTGTATGTAGACAGTGAGTAATTGATCTACAGTCAGAGAGTATTATTGAAGTTGAGCATGTTCGTTGTTATAGCGTTTGTTTTAGCGTGATTGTTGAAATTAAGTGTATCGTAAAGTTATATTCGGAAAGAATAAACCAGTTTTATTAAGTAAGGACTTGTGTCGCTAAAGTTTCGTCGGAACGAAGTTACGGAAAATTAATTAACAAATGGAGATGTAGCATAATGTTAGATGATAGAGAGGTGTGTGTAAGTGATGTTAGATGATATAGAGGTCTATCTGAGTAATGGTAGATGATAGAGATGTCTGTGTAACTAATGTTAGATGATAGACATGTCTGTGTAGGTAATGTTAGATGATAGAAAGGTCTGTGTAAATGATGTTAGATAATTGAGAGTTTAGTATAAGTAATGCTAGATGATAGAGAGGTCTGTGTAATTAATGTTAGATGATAGAGATGTCTGTGTAGGTAATGTTAGATGATAGAGAAGTCCGTGTAATTAATGTTAGATGATAGAGAAGTCCGTGTAATTAATGTTAGATGATAGAGAGGTTTGTGTAATTAATGTCAGATGATAGAGAGGTGTGTGTAAGTGATGTTAGATGATATAGAGGTCTATCTAAGTAATGTTAGATGAAAGAGATGTTTGTGTAAGTAATGTTAAATGATAGAGAGGTCTCTGTAAGTGAAGTTAGATGATAGAGAGGTCTGTG